AATAATACTCCCAGTAATGTGTCTGAGTGTATAACAGAGCTCCACAGCAATAATACTCCCAGTAATGTGTCTGAGTGTATAACAGAGCTCCACGGCAATAATACTCCCAGTAATGTGTCTGATATCGTGGTCTCTGGGTATATGGTCAGATATTGTGATCTCTATGTATATGGTCAGATATTGGTGGTCTCAGAGTATATGGTTAGACATTGGGGTCTCTGGGTATATGGTCAGATATTGGCGTCTCAGGGTATATGGTCAGATATTGGAGTCAGATATTGGTGTTCTCTTGGTATATGGTCAGATATTGTTGGTCTCAGGGTATAGCATAAGATATTGTTGGTCTCAGGGTATATGGTTAAACAATGCATTCTCTGGGTATATGGTCAGATATTGGGGTGTTAGGGTATATGGTCAGATATTAATGGTCTCAGGGTATATGGTCAGATATTGGGGTGTTAGGGTATATGATCAGATATTAATGGTCTCAGGGTATATGGTCAGATATTGGGGTGTTAGGGTATATGATCAGATATTAATGGTCTCAGGGTATATGGTCAGATATTTGTGGTCTCTGAGTATATAGTCAGATATTTGTGATCTTTGAGTATATGGTCAGATATTGTTGGTCTCAGGGTATATGGTCAGATATTGGTGCTCTCAGGGAATATGGCCAGATATTAATGGTCTCAGGGTATATGATCAGATATTGGTGCTCTCAGGGAATATGGTCAGGTCAGTGTGACGGACCGCTGGCACCCCGACCGGGTACCTCCGTCAATCAATGCTCCCAGTGCTTTCCAAGGGCCACCAGACACCATAAGCACTGCAGACCCCACTTCCAACGATGCAGCTGCGCCAGGGTCTCACCGTCTTTCACCCACCCTGGACCCAAGACCAGGATTCAGCTCCCAGTGGGTAGACCTCTCCTCCTCCAGAGAGCATAGCAGGAACAGCTCTTAGAAGAGCTAGTGATTATACTCAATCCCCAGACTGTAGCTTTCCAATCCCCCAAACATGAGCTAAGACTTCATGAAGGGGTAAAGCAGGTCTGTTTAACCCCTTCATGAAGTCATTTCAACCCCCAGCAGCCTCATTTACATACAATAGGTTACATAGAGCACTATAGTACAAAGAAGGGTGGGGTCAGACAATAGCAAGGGCTGATGGGAGATTGAGGAGGGACAAAGCAGCCAGTTTAAACTGGTCTGGCAGTGTCCCTGGGACAACGCCCTGCTGGGGAAACAATAGGACAGGAAAAAGGGGGAGGGGAGAGGCACAGACAAGCAATACATTCAGCATACTCCTCCTCTGTGTCTGAGAGATAATTATCTCTAGGTCCAAAAAGAAACACACCATTTACAAACACCCCAAAAGTACCCCAAGAGTCACATCCTTTGATAGCACTGATCTGGGTGACCAACATATTCAAAAATCACCCAGATCAGTGGTTTGGTTTTTCCAGGGAAGTCACTTTTTAACATGTCTTTTTGCAGGGTCCATAATCCTGGGGCAAGAGGCTGGCAAGCAAGCCCCTCCAAGTACCAGTGGCGAGGTTGCTTTTGCCACAGTCAGATATTGGGGTCTCAGGGTATATGGTCAGATATTGGGGTCTCGGGGTATATGGTCAGATATTGTTGGTCTCAAGATATCTGGTCAGATATTGTTGGTCTCAGGATATCTGGGCAGATATTGTTGGTCTCAGATATTGTTGGTCTATTGTTGATCAGATTTTGGAGTCTCAGGATATCTGGTCAGATATTGGAGTCTCTGGTTATATGGTAAGATATTGGGGTCTCAGGGTATATGGTCAGATATTGAAGTCTCTGGGTATATGGTGAGATATTGGGGTCTGCGGGTATATGGTCAGATATTGGGGTCTCATTGTCACACAATAATTGTGTCACTGTGTATTGCCGATGTTTGATGGCTGAGTTACACAGTGATGTCCATCTGTAAGAAGGTTTTTGCAAAGTAACAGTTATGTTTAGGGGCAACCAGAGCCCCTACCTGATTTAGAAATACTGTTCCCATCATACAGTGCCAGCCTTTATGTCTACCCTATGGTCTGCCATTGGCCAGCCTGGTTTAGTGGACTGATTCGGCAGCACAGAGGGCATTCTTTAAGGATTGTATGGGTTTTGTGATTCAGTGAGTTTTTCCAACTGGTTGAATCGTTTGGTGTTCTTGCTGTACGGGTTGTGAATGTGGAATATTTCTAATGGCGATGATTCTTTTTTCTTTCAACAGGTTTGTTCTTTATAAGTTACCGAAGTATAACATTAATGAGAGTGCCGGATCCGGACTGAACTATCTGTATTTGGATTCAATGTCTGAAGGATGGCAGCCGGGCAGGTCCCTTATCAATATGACAGAGAGCGCAGTAGGACGGGTATTGGAGCAACTCTACCGAACGTACCGAGTGAGTTTATTCTGCCTACCGTCATATCATGTCATATAAGAGAAAATGATGTGGAAGCTAAAGGGAAACACTCATAGTGGGGTTAACCCATAGAAAACTACTAAAGTAGTAAAAGAAAAAAAACGAAGGAAAATCTGAATGCCCTAATAAGGTAAAATATAACTTTTATTAATTAGGATTAAAAAAATGCACAAACGTTGTCAGCAGAAAAATATACTAGGCTGTACACTATGTACAATCTCATAAACCTAAAGAAGAAAATAAATAAATATAATAGGTAAAACCCATGTGAATAAATAAATCATAGGGCTACCCACTAAATGAGAGCCCTAGATGGTGGGCTATAACCTGTGAACTGAGCACTGAGAGAAGAACTAATAATACTACGTAGAAATATCATGCCATCATAGTATCTCTCAATAAGGAAGATATGACACTACATCTATGTAACGGATCGCCTGGCACCCCGACTGGGTACCTCCGTTGAAGAATGCTCCTAGTGCTTCCTGAGGACTCCAAGCACTCTGGCAGACACCACAACCACCGAACTGGAGAAACAAATAAATTCTCCCAAGCATATGAATGCTGTAGACAGTTGAATAGGAACCATATGAATAGGTTTACTCTCCTAGCAGTCAAACTGGAACAGCATACAATAAATCCTTCCCCCAATAATGAGACGACACTTCACTTTGAGGGTTAAAACAGGAACTCCCTGGACTGGCACATACAGCCTCTTTTATTCCCTATCCACAAACTTAGTACTGCCCACAGGGTTTTACATAACAACCAATAACACGTACATTACAGAAAGACACTCCCACACAAAATCCTCCCCTCTGGCTGTGATATGATTACTGAACACAATGGGTAATCTAATGATCACAGCCAGAGAAATACAGTTTCATAAAACACATCACAGGGACCCCAAAACATGCAATAACCCCATAAAAGTATATCATTGGAACTGGGGGATCTGGGTGAACCACATAGCCAAAATTCACCCAGATCCGTTCAGTACTTTGGAAAATACAGTTTAATGCAGATTCTGCAGAACATATACAGGCTAAATAAAAAACAATCACTGTATAATGTGTCCCCTGCTGTATAGTCCAAAACCACGCACGATGTCTCTGTGCAACAAATACTGGCGAGATGGCACCGTGTTGAAAAGTCCACACAGTGTCTGTGAGTTAAAATGGCTGCCATCCATTGTTCTCACCATGTGCTTCTGATACAGGAAATGGTGGCCACCCAGTAACTCCACAGTATGTCCCCAGATGGTTCTTAAAAGGGCTAGCAGCAGCACAACACAAATCCATTATGCCCAAATCATGTCTTTAAAGGGCAATACATCCCAGGGGCCATAGTCACATGGCAGGAGGCTGGCAACCAGGCTTCTCCAGTGCATAGTGGTGAGGTTGGTTCCGCCACAATCTAATAATACGAATAAAGACGGCCTGTTCAAAAGTTCTCAGTGTCCTCTGACTTCAACAAGACAATGTTTCAGTTTATGAAAATGGCCAAACTGTTACAAACAGTGATACAAGCTGATCTGATTTGCTCAATCTGAATATAAATCTCTGTATTCAGTTCCACATCTATAGTGCTGGTTTTAAGTGGACCCATGCAATAGCATGATAGAGATGTGCAAAAGGAGATGGATGTATTTCCACAAGCGAAAGTCTGCATATGTAATTATTGTACCCAGATGAGTGCAATGCTAATGATGTATGTACTAAAATAACTATTAGCCCAGTATATAAAACTATATTGAATCCAAAAATGCCGATGTGGCTATTGCTAAAATATTGTCAGTGCCAATAAAACACTAACCTGTTAAAGTCACTGGGAACCAATAGTTATAGGGGTAAAAAAAGGTTGTCTATGTTAATGTAATACGTAATTAACTGACAGATAGAACGTCCTGCCCTCCTGCCTACTTATAAACAAAAAAGGGAAAAAAAGATCGAGCAACCTTAGCCCACCCAGTCTAAAACAAGAAAGAAGCTCGGGATTCTGAAGGTTGTGTGGTGTTCACAGATCAAAAATCCAGTGAATCACCGAAGACCCCTGACGCACGCGTTTCGCCCACAACTCATTATTATTATTAGATGTAGTGTCATATCTTCCTTATTGAGAGATACTATGATGGCATGATATTTCTACGTAGTATTATTAGTTCTTCTCTCAGTGCTCAGTTCACAGGTTATAGCCCACCATCTAGGGCTCTCATTTAGTGGGTAGCCCTATGATTTCTTTATTCACATGGGTTCTACCTATTATATTTATTTATTTTCTTCTTTAGGTTTATGAGATTGTACATAGTGTCCAGCCTAGTATATATATCATGTCATATACCTCCAAACCCTGCTTCACTGGACGCCAGTGGGAGGGGCTAAAAGCAGCTCATTAATAATGTGACTTGTGTCACTAGCCACATCTAAAGGGTTGACACTCCCAGAAAGGGGTGGGTTTGGTGGTAGCCCACTGTTTCAGTGCTTTCTGCAGGGTCCTAGTGCCCTGAGAATAATGTGCTCATACTAGTGTCGGTGACAGTTCCCTGGTGTTCTGCTTTTGGGGGACGGCAGGACAGGATCTAAAAAATTTGGGAGGCCTGATTCATACTGCATATTACTGTTAGTTTTATTGCTGTGGAGCTCTGTGATACACTCATACACACTGACATTACTGTGAGTTTTATTGCTGTGGAGCTCTGTGATACACTCATACACACTGACATTACTGGGAGTTTTATTACTGTGGAGCTCTGTGATACACTCTGTACATTACTGGGAGTTTTATTGCTGTGGAGCTCTGTGATACACTCATACACACTGCACATTACTGTGAGTTTTATTGCTGTGGAGCTCTGTGATACACTCATACACACTGCACATTACTGTGAGTTTTATTGCTGTGGAGCTCTGTGATACACTCATACACACTGACATTACTGGGAGTTTTATTGCTGGGGAGCTCTGTGATACACTCATACACTCTGTACATTACTGTGAGTTTTATTGCTATGGAGCTCGTTATTACACACTACAGTGAGTTTGGGATTAGGATCACACTGGAGGACATTCGATGATATAAGTATTTTATAAACTTTCTATAATTTCAGACAAATAGTGCTGTATATATGATGTATAACGACGCTCCACCCAGCATGAAAAACTATACTACTAAACTTGGACATAGTAAAGGTGAGTCAGTGATTATCCCTTAACACTGAGACAATGTATTCACTGAACGGTGTGTAATAATGGGACCATCCTCACAATATTTAATGTCTTTACTGATACATGATATATTTAGTACACATTGATATAATGTATTATATGTACAATTCTATATATTATCATTGTATAATGACTTTATTATCATCCTAACAATATATAATGTCTATACTGATATATGAGATATTAAATACACATATGGATATATGTAATGTATATTATGTACAATGCTATATATTATTATTCAATAATTGTATAATGACTTTATTATCATCCTCACAATATACAATGTATGTAGCGGAGTGAGAGTGTGAACTGCAATATCTCCGCTGGTAGACGCGATCAGCATGCACATAAAGTGTAGCGTAGTACTTCCAATCCCATTCCCCAACAACTGGACGAAACACAGCTTTGGGAGTCAACTGGTTTTTATTGAACCACAGCTGGCTTTTATGCAATTCACCATGCAAGGGGTTTCTTTAATGACATTGCCCCTGGTGGACCTTGTTGAGGACTGGGAACAAAGCCATATTTCCCATGATCCTTTTCTGTACTTGGAAGATAATTGTGTAAGAACAATTATTTAATTAGATTATCTCCCAAGTACAGAACATTAAACAATATTTCCAAACATCATAACTCCCATAATATTAATCAGAACTCCACGAAAGACACTTCACTGAATAGTAGGGATCTGAGTGCCCAATCTGTTGAAAAACCACTCAGATCTGTTCGAGTGAAGTTTTGGTCCGGTCAGCCATGAGGTGAAGCCCCAAAACAGTTCCATGCGATTGACTGTTTTGACCGGTCTTTCTTTCGGGGGTTCTCACGAACAAACTAACGATGGTAAACGTTCATAAACAATATGTCTGTATTCTGTTCGTGAAGTAGAAATAGTCGAACCAACTCAGTCTTTTACACAAAGAAGTGGCTAGGTTTGCCACAATGCTCCCCCCAGAACCACAAGCCAGCATACACAGTCTGATTCCAACGGATCGGCTTGGGGATGTCCGGAGGAGTATTCACAGATTACTTTTCAAGTTCAGTCTGTCTGGATAACCCGTCAGCGTTGCCATTTTGTCAGGGGCCATGTAGCACTGCCGAAACGCGCGTTGGGTGTTTGAAGCTCTGGGTGTTAACTTTTTCACTGGGCACCTTATTTTTGGACTCACTTTTGACTTAACATGTTGCTCTAATTACTTGCTTTCACTTTTTTCCTCCTTTTTGTTTCTATGTCTATCTAGCAAGATTACCTGGGAGAGAGGCTTTGCTACATTACTAATTCATGACAGTATTTTACTGACATTAGAACACAATGTTTGGCTACAGACAGCATGGTTCCATTGGACAGCTTGTTAGACTAGTTGTCATACTTACCATCACCTGTTGATACATATCTATACAACCTAATAAGCCACTAGTATTCAGAAGGAGTACTTTGACAACTTGCTAAATAACTCTGTCTGTCTGTTTTGACATTTGACTGGAAGCTGCACTTTAGGATTACTCAGACCCATCTAAATAATACACTCAGATATTAACTCTAACACTCCTGGCTTATATATTTCTTTGGAGCCATACCAATAAAGCTCTTTTTATCTAATCAGGAACAATACTGCGACCAGTATCTGATTTATCTTATATGGACATAGGAATTAACCCTATAGGGTTATGACTACACAGGCCAGGTGTGTTTCATAGCTTGCAATTCTCTAGATACATATTGCTATCTATCTTTTTTTGTATTCTTTTTAGCTACATATCCTCCATATATTCAACTGACTACTACAATTATCTCCAGGCAGGGGAGGCATAGTCACCTTTGGTGTACTTGCATACCTCGTTTATAATTTTTGTAACGTTGGCAATAGTGGGTTAACCTCTTAGAGAGGTCCCTGGAATCTCTCATCGATGCTCTGTTAGTTTGGACCACTGAGACATAACCGTTTTATGGTCTGTCACAGTTGATCCACACTGATTATTTTCTCTACAGATGCATTCACTGTGATACATGTAATATGTGATATACACAGATACATTCACTGTGATACATGTAATATGTGATATACACAGATACATTCACTGTGATACATGGAATATGTGATATACACTGATACATTCACTGTGATACATGGAATATGTGATATACACTGATACATTCACTGTGATACATGGAATATGTGATATACACAGATACATTCACTGTGATACATGGAATATGTGATATACACAGATACATTCACTGTGATGCATCTGGACACACTAGGTTTGCATATTACGAAGATATTACTGCCTAAAACCTTGTTCACAGCACAATGGCTGCCGGGAGTTGGGGATAATGTTTATAGGCTCACTGGGTTATTCAATAAAGTGAGTATTCTCAGGAATTCAAAGTCTGTCTATCAATCTATTATTATTATTATTATTATTTTATTATTTATATAGCGCCAACAAATTCCCTAGCGCTGTACAATGGGTGGATTAACAGTCACATAATTGAGATCAGACCACTGATGTACAGGAACAGAGGGGGTGGAGGGCCCTGCTCGATGAGCTTACATGCTAGAGGGAGTGGGGTATAGTGACACAAAGGGTTAAAGTAGGGGAATTAAATCGTTTGTTAGAGAAGGGTTTATTGAGTGCTTGGTAGGTCATTTTTGACAGTTGCAGGAACGGAGTCATGGGGTGGGGGATGAGAAACCTGCTGACAGTTTAATTGATACGCTTTACTGAAGAAGTGAATTTTCAAAGATTTTTTTAAGCGTGGAGGCTGGGTGAAAGTCTGATTGAGGAGGGAACGAAGTTCCACAGATTCTATCTTTTTCTCTATCGATAGATTGTTAGACAGACCGATCTATCAATAGAGAAATAGATTGATAGACAGACCGATCTATTGATAGGGAAATAGATAGATAGACAGACAGATCTATCGATAGAGAAATAGATAGATAGATAGACAGACAGACAGCTCTATCGATAGAGAAATAGATAGATTGGTATGTCTGTCTATCAATCTATCTATTTCTCTATCGATAGATCGGTCTGTCTATCTATCAATCTAGTTCTCTATCGATAGATCTGTCTGTTTATCAATCTATTTCTCTATCGATAGATCGGTCTGTCTATCAATCTATTTCTCTATCGATAGATCGGTCTGTCTATCTATCTATCTATTTCTCTATCGATTGATCGATCTGTCTATCTATCAATCTATTTCTCTATCGATAGATCGGTCTGTCTCTCTGTCTATGTTCCATAATTCTACCAAAAAAAATCTACCTAATTATAAGTCTACAAAAAAACAGCAACTTATATTTATTGTATACGTATTTACTTGGGAACAGTGCTTGTTTTGGTTTGATAAACGTCTGTCATAGTGTAATTAGATTTGATTGAGATTAATGGTGCAAGCCAGAGTTTGATATTTTCAGAATTTCTGAAGATGCAGAATGTTCATGATCCTCGCTGGTGGATAGGGGTCATGGATTGCAGTGGCCGCAGGTTTCTGAACTCTTTGCCCAGTTAAATCAATGAGATGGTTAATAATTAGGTTTTTGTTGTTGAAAGCCTTTCAGAGGCTCGTCAGCCATGTTTAAATCTCCCTGAAGCTGCTGCAACAGGCGTTCCTCAGGATGTTTGTTAGGGATGTTCCAGTTAAACACAGATATTGATGCCGCAGCGTGCAGTGCCGAACTTTGTACTAACGCTGACTCAGCATCGGATGCATTAACTCAATAATAATAATAATAATAATAATAGCAGTAATAATTATAGTAATAATACTACCTTTAACCCAGCCAGTACCTGACTGTAATATAGTAACAATAACATTACTAGCAGTAATAATACTACCTGTAATCCATCCACTACCTGACTAATATAGTAAAAATAATAATAATAATAATAATAATAATACGAGCAGTAATAATTACAGTAATAATACCTGTAACCTATCCTTTACACGAGTGTAAAATAGCAATAATAATAATAAATACTAGCAATAATAATTATAGTATTTTTTTTTCTTTTGTTGCTCATAACTCATGGGTAATGAAATGACAGATTGTTCACAACGTACTTTAATAATGTTTGTCCCCACAGAATGAATGTCACAGAGTCGATCACTAATTAATAAGAGTAGATAGGACTAGTGGGAACTACGTATAGCAATAGGTTACACTGTATATTATTAACAAATTACACTAAAGTACCAAATTTTGTTTACGAGATGTTCACGAAAGTTACAGGGAGGGGAAGATAGGACAGGGGTTTGAATGAAGCAAGAAAGAAGGAGAGAGAGTTTCCGTTGCTGCTGTTGTCGTCGTCTTCCTGATGCCACTTGCTCAGCTGCATTTAGACAGAATGAACTTAATAAATATATAGTAGCCAGTCATAGGAACCCCTGAACCGATCTGGGTGATTTTTGGATATGTTTGTCCCCCAGGTCGGGGCTATCAGAGGATATGACTTTTGTGGGGTTTCCATGTGTTATAGGGGTACTTTTGGGGGGTTGTTAAAATGTATGTTGAATTTAGTACAGTTCCTGGCTCAATCATCTCTCAGGCACAGGGAAGGGATTGTCTTAATTTGTGTGGAAGTGTCCTGGACCTGAGAGCCAATGTAATTACAGTGTGAACTTTGTCACAGTCCCCTCTCAGGTCCAGTGGGGAATACCCCTGGAATATGTTATGGAAAACGCCTTGCAGGGACTTGCATATAAGGCCAGTTGTGGCCGCCATTAAACAGTTCCTCTTCACCCTCAACACAGAGCCTCGCCTCATGTGTGGAGGGGACAGTTATATTCCCTCTGGGGATTGCTATAATAACTATACTCCCTTGGATTACAACACCAGCTCTTATAAGAGCTATCCTGCTATACTCTCTGGAGTAGGAGAGGTCTTGGGTCCAGGGTGGGTGGAGGACAGCGAGTCCCCAGCCAAGCTGTAACACTGGCTGTGGGGGTTTACCGTGGTTATGGTGTCCGGTGCAGGGTGCTTCTGGTATTCAATGATGTAGCGGAGAGCTTGTCTTACACAGCCTATCTCCACTTTAGATCCCAGTAAGGCTCAGGAACAAGTATTATAAATCCACAGGGTAATATTTCCAGCAGGCAAAATACTCCAACAATATCCCAACCTCAATCCCAATGACTGGATGACACACAGCATCAGGAGCAGAACTGAACTTTTAATCACAGCATTGCCTTATAAAGGTTTCTCCCATGCAAGGGAGGGATTTACAATAATTAGGACAGTAACCAATGGTACAGTAGTTTCCTCCCATACATCACCTCCCCTCAGTGTGACACTTAATCCACTTATTTCGGTTACAGTTTTCCCTGTTTTCTGGATGTACCCCAAAACTGTGGGGTACAAGGATCTAAGTGGCATCCCCTGATAGCTCTGATCTGGGTGACCAACATACTCAAAATTCACCCAGATCAGACCAGGGGTTCGGGAGTTATGGAGAATAAACTATTTGACCGCACACGAGGTGGTAGCCGAAAAGGGTTCCATGTGTTTTGGCCCTGCGGTCGGTCTACGTTCGGGAGGTAAAACAGTCACTAATCTTTGCCATCCATTGCTAATAATGTATTTGCATGAATCCCTTTGTTCGTTAGATTGAATTCACCGAACGAGGGGTTGATTAGCCCCTCCGTTCGGGAGTTCTGGAACTCTGGAGGTCTCAGCGGTGTTCGGGTAATCGAGTGTCCGATTTGAGTTCTAGACACTCGACGACCAAACATCGCTGAGAGTTCGTGCGTATGATGGCCGCCGCAACGTGTTCGCTTACCGAATGGCGGTCACCCAGATAAAGCAATAAAAAACCGATGAACTGTGGTTAGAGAAGTGTGAAAGCCTTAATGAGGTACACACTTCTCTCTGGGGTGGTCTATTGATTCGGTAGTTTTCATTCGTATGAAATATGAATGGAAACTACCGAACAAACATACGAATTCCACATACAATTTCAATTATACAGTAAGCTAAACACACGAACAGTCTTTTAAACACAATCCTGGAGGACATCCACTACAAATGATTACTAGGAAGCCACGATTGGCGGAGGCACCCGGTCGGGGTGCCAGGCGGTCCGTCACAATTATATATTGAATAAACCTCAACACGTTGAATATTTGAAACAAACAATCTTTTTCAAAATAAAAACACTCCTTCTAATGAAATTACACAAAAATTAATAGAGGTTGAAAAGAAAATTAATGAAGCATTGATAAAAAGGGCAAATTATATGCTAAATAGTGTCAAAAGGATTTGGTATTATGAGGGTAATAGATCCAATACTCTTATCAAATCAAAAAAGAAAAATCAAATAAATGTAATTTCAAGATACAACATAAGGACCAAATGGTTTTGATTTCGGAGAAAATACGACAGGTCTTTGAGGAATACCACAAAACCCTTTATAATCTTCCAACATCTTCTTCTAGAATATATATCGAATCATTCTTGGGAAAATGCAGTATTCCAAAAATCGATACTTTGGGTAATAAAAATTTTTATGCCTGGGGATAATTAAGTTAGTACATTATCTATCTTAATTATATCACAGGCAGAGGGGAGGGATTGTGCGCTGTATGTGGGAATGTCGGACATTGTAGTATTGTTCTTATTGGTCTGTACAGTTCATAATGCGGTGCTCCATCAGGTCCAGGGGGTGTGCCTCTGGCCTGAGGAATTGTGTATAAAGCCAACCTGTCCCATTAAACCTTCAGACTTCTTCACACTCAATACGGACTTCTGTTTCTTATTGTAAGGAACCGCGGGATTGCTGTAACGGATCACCTGGCACCCCGACTGGGTACATCCGTTGAAGGATGCTCCTAGCACTTCCTGAGGACTCCAAACACTGCAGCAAATACTGGCGAGATGGCACCGTGTAGAAAAGTCCAAACAGTGTCTGTGAGTTAAAATGGCCGCCATCCATTGTTCTCACCATGTGCTTCTGATACAGGAAATGGTGGCCACCCAGTAACTCCACAGTATGTCCCCAGATGGTTCTTAAAGGACCAGCAGCAGCATAATAAAATCAAGTATGCCCTAGAAGGGCAATACATCCCAGGGCCATAGTCGCAGGGCAGGAGGCTGGCAAACAGGCCCCTCCCAAAACCAGTGGCGAGGTTACTTTCGCCACAATTGCTATACACCGTATACTCCCTTGGATAATCACTAGCTCTTGTAAGAGCTGTTCCTGATATGCTCTTCTGGAGGAGAGGTCTTTCCCACACGGTCCCGGATGTCAGCGGTTGGTCCAGGGTGGGAGGAAGACGGCGAGATTCCAGTTAAGCTACGGCGGTTGCAGAGGCTGCGGTGCTGATGGTGTCCGGTGCGGCGTTTATAGTCCTCGGTGTCAGCTAGGAAGCATCCGTTGACGGAGGGACCAGTCGGGGTGCCAGGTGATCCGTTACAGTCACCAGACCGTTTTTCAATTATCTTACCGCTAAGGACCAGGGCCATTTTCAAATTTCTGCAGTGTTTGTATTTAGCTGTAAATTTCCTCTTACTCATTTACTGTACCCACACATTATATACCGTCTTTTTCGCTATTAAATGGTCTTTCTAAAGATACCATTATTTTCATCATATATAATTTACTATAATTTTTTTTTATAAAATATGATTTAAAAAAAAAATAAACATCCAGATAATATTCCTATTCTACCCAGTCAATCTGGATCTTATCCTTATTCTAACCAGTCCCATGGGTCTTACCTGTTCTACCCAATCCATAGCATTTTATTTATATTCTACCCAAACCACCAAGGTCTTATACCTATTCTTCTCAATTTCCTGGGTCTTATTCCTATTCTACTAGATCCCCTCCCTCCTCAGATTCTATTCTTCACATTCCAGCGGGTCTTATTTCTATTCCAGCAAATCACCCAGGGTCTTAATCCCCACACACCCACCTGCTAAAAATATAGATTATGGGGTCCTCAATCCCCCTATGTCTTATCCCCCACACAGAATTATGATATAGAGGTTGCTCAGTCCCTCTGGTTCTGTGAGCATCCTCTATACTAAGTGGAACATAGACGAACAATGAGGAGACTGTGTTACTTTCTGACAGAGATTGAATACAATGCAGGATTAGATATATTTGTAAATATATTTCTCCCCAATATAGGAATCTTGCTATTTGACAAATCCCAGGGATTCTGGCTAATTCACAGTGTCCCCCGATTCCCACCATTCCCAGAGGATGGATATGGATATCCTTCTACAGGCCAACTGTACGGACAGAGTGCCATCTGTGTCACCTACAAATACCAGCAGTTTAAAGAAATCGGTGAGTTTTACTGGCTGTTAATAATTTTGTAACTGTGCTATTTACATATTGACAATAACTGATAGCAGTGATACAGGAAATAACATTTTACAGAGATGTTTGGTGAATTTACAAAGTATATACAAACGCAGAGAGAGAAAAAAAGTCTGCAGTACCAGAGCTATGTATAAATCTGAATAAAATCATGTAATTATCACCTCATCTCTAAGAGCTTCATGGTGCCACAGTGATTTTTGATTTCGGAATTAACTTCCCAATAAAGATAGTGACGAAACCTCGCTCACCAAAAAATTGTGTTTGAGCATATTATAAAGATAATTTAATTCACTTCATTGAAATTACAACGCAGTCAAAAGGTATTTTAAGAAAAATTAGGGACTACTTTGTCTTATGGTAAATCTTTACCTTGACAGAAGTCAGAGCTATCATGGTCAGTCTCTATCATCTTCCCCCCCTCCCCCCCCCCCACCATCACTAGCACATTGTGAGAATATATCTATGGAGGTTGACATGGTCTTGCAGGAGCATCCATAGGCATCAGTGTGAGTTTTACTTGCACATGAGAGAACAGTACTGAGGTGGGCTCCAGGCAGATGAAAGCGCCAGGAGCCAAGGCTTGCAAATTGTGGCACCCACAGGAGACTGAATCCGGTAAGTCTAACTTACTTGGGCTGCACCCATGGGCCTCCTCAACCTGAGTCATATGTATTGAAAGACCCTGGAAGGTGACAGAACTGCTTTAAATCTGGTTTTAAATTGGAAAAAATAAAGTTGAAATGCGACTCCACCTAAAGAAACTCATATGTCAAAACTCAGCGATTCCTTAAAGAGGGCATTCAACAAGGATGCCAAAGCAGTTTATCATGCTGAAAATTGGCATAGTGAAACATGGTGGTGGGAGCATCACAATGTCAGGATACTTTTCATCATCGTGTACTGATTAACTGACAAGGAATGATGGATGGAGCCAATTGATGTGAGTCTGCAAGATCCCTGAAACTTGTAGCGAAGGCTCATCTTCAAAAGAATGTCCTCCGATATGCAGCAAATGATACACTGCAGTCATTTTAAACAAAGAACCTGAATCTTTTGTTGTTTAGTCAAAGTCCAGACTTAATTGGAGGTAAAACTTGGAATGACTAATGACCCCTTTCAACCTGTAGTGCTTGAGTCATTTAGCAAGAAAATTGGCCTTAATTCAGGATCCAGCTGTGCAAATCTGGTAGAGTTTAATTCAAAAGACAGACTATTGTAACCGCAGCGAAAGATTATTCTACCAAATATTGTCTCAGCCAGGTACTTAGACAATACTTATTTATATAGCCCGCCAAGTGCCTGTTTTTTAGTGTACACTAAAAGGTTTGAATACTCATCCAAGGCACAATTTGTTTGTGTAGGGGGAAAGAAAGTGTCTGTGTGGGGTGAAGAGGTGAAAACTCAGTTCCTTGATATGGGTCTTCAATATGTCCATTAGCTCAACAAACACGTTCTCTGCCTAAGATAGTTTTCACAATAGATTTCTATCTGATTTTGTTTTACAGCCATCCAGATGTTCTCCTACAACCCAAATGTCTATAACTGCTCCATTCCTGAGGAATACTGGGATGACCTATGGGGTCTACAGAAAATATGTCTTGGAAGCCACTTTCCCTGGGTGGAACCAACGCATCTCATCACATTGGAGTCAGCTAATGGAGATACCTTCCTCAGCTTTGCTAAATCCAAGTATTTTGTTGATGGTAGGAATAGCTGTGAAAACATGGTAGTTGGGTCACAAACCAGTTATTAGTGGTCAAATGCAACAGGTAGAATGAACCCAGCACAGAATGGGCACATGGTATAGGAAAGTATTACCAGTAATGAGTGCGCACATAGTATAGGCAGTTATTATCAGTAATCTAACCTAGAACCCCCTCCCTGCCTTTCGTACGTAGTATGGATACATGATGGAGAACTAACCTAGAACCCTCTCCCTGCCTATTATACTCATTATGCATATATGATGGTGATATAGCCTAGAACCCCCTCCCTGCCTTTAATACATATTATGGATACATAAAGGCGATCTAGCCTAGAACCCCCTCTCTGCCTTTTATACTTAGTATAGAATCATGAAAGGGCTATCGCAGTGGGCTAGTTCTCCCACCCATGTAGCTGGCAATGCCCTCAACTTCATCTTCTCTTACAGTATGTAATATCTGCAAAACTCCATTTCCTCTCTCTGATCATCACCTCTTATTGTTTGCGCCTGAATACCCCCTCACCCAACAACCTCAGCCTAACCCCCTCAATTTAGGAGGAACCATAATTCTTTTGACTTCCAGCAGTCAGATGATATTATTATGTTATTATTTATATAGCGCCAACAAATTCCATAACACTTTACAGTGGGTGGACGAACAGACATGTAGTTGTAACCAGACAAGTTGAACACACAGGAGGGGTTGAGGGCCCTGCTCAATGAGCTCACATGCTAGAGGGAGATGCACAAAAGGGAAGGATAGTATTAGAGTAATAACAGTTTGTAACGGATCACCTGGCACCCCGACTGGGTACCTCTGTTGAAGGATGCTCCTAGCGCTTACAGAGGGCTCCAAGCACTCCGAGGACACCACAACCACCGCAGACCCCACTAACCGCCGCAGCTTGGTTGGGGTCTCGCCGTCTCCTTCCCACCCTGGACCTACGACAAGCCTCCAGGTTCCAGTGGGTGAACCTCTCCTCCAAGAGAGTGAAGCAGGAACAAGCTCTTAAAAGTGAATAAGAGTGAATATAGCAAGGGAGTATGCAGAGCATAGCAATCCCTTGTAGCAGATTCCCCCAATAAGAGACGGCACTCCAAATTGAGGGTGAAGTAGAACTGACTGTACTGGCACATACAGCCTCTTTTATTCACAATCCACAAACATAGTACTGCCCACAGGGTTTTGAAATACAACCAATCAATCCGTACAATACACACAGACACTCCCCTATGCCTGTGATATGATTACCGAACACAATGGTTAATCTAATTATCACAGGCAGAGAAATACAGTATTATAAAACATATCAAAGGGACCCCAAAACATGCAATAAGCCCATACTTCATATATCCTCGGAACCGAGGGATCTGGGTGAACCAGATATCCAAAATTCACCCAGATCCGTTAAGTAGTTTGGAAGATACAGTTTAATGCAGATTCCGCAGAACATATACAAGCTATGTGAAAAATAATTACTGTTAAATGTGTCCCCTGTTCTATAGTTTAAAACTACTGCACAATGTCTTTGTGCACCAAATACCGGCGAGATGGCACCGTGTTGAAAAGTCCAAACAGTGTCTGTGAGTTAAAATGGCCGCCATCCATTGTTCTCACCATGTGCCTCTGATACAAGAAATGGTGGCCACCCAGTAACTCCACAGTATGTCCCCAGATGTTTCTTAAAGGGCCAGCAGCAGCATAATAAAATCAAGTATGCCCACATCAGTTCCTAGAAGGGCAATACATCCCAGGGCCATAGTCGCAGGGCAGGAGGCTGGCAAACAGGCCCCTCCAAAAACCAGTGGCGAGGTTACTTTCGCCACACAGTTGCATGAGAGGAATCAGTCGGGAGCTATTAACAGTTTAATTGCTACGCTTTTATGTAGAAGTTGGTTTTTAATGTTTTTTTGAAGGAGTGGAGACTGGGTGAGCATCTAACGTAGGAGAGAAGTGAGTTCCACAGGAATGGTGCAGCCCTCGAGAAGTCTTGAAGGCGAGCATCAGAGGTGGGAGTACGGATAGACGATAGAAGTCTTCAGCAGACAGTAAGGGCCTAGACGGGACATACTTGTGTATTAGTGAGGATAGATAGGTGGGAGCAGCATTATGTAGAGATTTGAAAACAAGAACCAGAATTTTAAATTGAGCCATATATTTTACATGAAGCCAATATAGGGACTGACAGAAAGGTGAGGCGTGAGAAGTGCAGGCAGACAGGAAGATGAGCCTCTCCGCTGCATTCATTATGGACTGTAACGGCGCAAGTTGGGAGCACGTAAGACCACTGAGAAGCGGATTACAGTAGTCAAGACGAGAAAGGACAGTGGAATTGACCAGCACCTTAGTCGCATCTGGCGTTAAGTTGGGTTGGATGTGTGCAATGTTTTTGAGAAGGAAGCGGCAGGATTTGTCGATAGACTGAACATGAGGCTTGAAGGAGAGGTCTGAGTCAAAGATAACACCTAGGCAGCGAGCCTGCGTGGTGGAGCTGATGGTAGCACTGTTGACTTGGAGGCAGGCAGACACACGAGTAGCAACACTTGAGGGAGGAAAGACTAGAATTTCAGTTTTGGTCAAGTTGAGTTTAAGTTAGAAATAGCAGAGAGGCAGTCAGAGACACTAGTCAAGAGGGACGGGGAGAGATCAGAAGAGGACAGGTAGATTTGCGTGTCATTCGCATAGAAATGATATTGGAAGCCAGAGGAGCTAATGAGTTTACCAAGGGAGGCAGTATAGATAGAGAACAGTAGGGGACCAAGGACTGAGCCTTGGGGGACACCAACAGAGATGAGTTAGGGAGAAGAAGCAGAGCTAGAGAAAGAAACACTGAAAGAGTGCTGGGAGAGGTAGGAGGAGCACCAGGAGAGAGAAATATCTTGTAAACTGATATTGCAGAGGATGAGAAGAAGCTGTTGATGATCAACAGTGTCAAAAGCTGCAGACTAGTCAAGGATAATTAGGATAGAGTAGTGACCACGAGATTTTGCAGCGAGTAGATCATTGGATACTTTGGTCAGTGCCGTTTCCACAGAGTGCTTAACGCGGAAACCAGACTGAAGCGGGTCTAGCAGAGAGTTAGACTCGAGGAAGTCTGTCAATCTTGCATACACAATTTTTCAAGGATCTTGGATGCAAAAGGCAGTAGCAAGATAGGACGGTAGTTGGATGGGGAGTTAGGGTCAAGGTTGGGCTTCTTTAGAATTAGGGTTACAGTTGCATGTTTTAAGGGCCATGGAAATATTCCAGAAGAGAGAGAGAGATTGCAAATTTTAGTGAGAGGTGGAGAAAGAGAAGACGACAGAGTACGGATGAGATGCAAGGGAATTGGATCTAGGGAGCAGGTGGTGGGACGGGAGGACTGGAGCAGAGCAAAAACCTTTTCCACTGTAGCAGGTGCGAATGAACATAGAACAGCAGAAGGAGTGAGGCTAGGGGAAGTATTGTAAGGGGAAGAAGAAAGATGAGAGATCACTTCTCTTCTCTGATTGTAGATATCTTGCCAGTGAAGTGAGTTGCAAAGTCTGAGGCAGTCACGTTAGTAGGTGAAGGATGAACAATAGGAACAATGTGTGAAATAGTCGTTTGGGTTCGCGGGAGAGTGTGGTTATGAGGGTATTGAAGTAATTTACTTTTGCAGAGGAAAGAGCCACGCTGTAAGAGCGCAGCATTAATTTATAGTGGAGAAAGTCAGCATTTCTATAGTTGCCCCGCTACAGTCTGTAATGAATGCTGCCGCCAGACTGATTTTCCTCTCTAGTCGGTTCTCTCACACTTTACCCCTCGGTCAGTCCTTACATTGGCTTCCTGTATCCTATAGGAGTCAATTCAAAGTGCTAAAGTGCTATAAACATGAACAATTCTAGTCCCTCTTATATCTCTTCACAGATCCATAGGTATGCCCCTAATCGGTCTCTGCCCGTGACCTTTTCCTGTCCATTGCTCGCACCCGTTCGGCCAACTCACGCTTGCAGGACTTCTCACGGGCGACTCCCTTCCTAAGGAATAGCCTGCCAACCGCCATCACACTCTCCCCTAGTCTTTAATCGGTTACGAAGTGCCTTAAACCCATCTTGTGTGCCGTTACAAGTGTATTTCGCTGTGGATACAGTATCAGTGTATTTCGCTGTGGATATAGTATCAGTGTATATCGCTGTGGATATAGTATCAGTGTATTTCGCTGTGGATATAGTATCAGTGTATTTCGCTGTGGATACAGTATCAGTGTATTTCGCTGTGGATACAGTATCAGTGTATTTCGCTGTGGATATAGTATCAGTGTATCTCGCTGTGGATACAGTATCAGTGTATTTCGCTGTGGATACAGTATCAGTGTATTTCGCTGTGGATACAGTATCAGTGTATCTCGCTGTGGATATAGTATCAGTGTATTCGCTGTGGATATAGTATCAGTGTATTTCGCTGTGGATATAGTATCAGTGTATATCGCTGTGGATATAGTATCAGTGTATTTCGCTGTGGATACAGTATCAGTGTATCTCGCTGTGGATACAGTATCAGTGTATTTCGCTGTGGATATAGTATCAGTGTATTTCGCTGTGGATACAGTATCAGTGTATTTCGCTGTGGATACAGTATCAGTGTATTTCGCTGTGGATATAGTATCAGTGTATCTCGCTGTGGATACAGTATCAGTGTATATCGCTGTGGATATAGTATCAGTGTATTTCGCTGTGGATACAGTATCAGTGTATTTCGCTGTGGATACAGTATCAGTGTATTTCGCTGTGGATACAGTATCAGTGTATCTCGCTGTGGATATAGTATCAGTGTATATCGCTGTGGATATAGTATCAGTGTATTTCGCTGTGGATATAGTATCAGTGTATTTCGCTGTGGATATAGTATCAGTGTATTCGCTGTGGATATAGTATCAGTGTATTTCGCTGTGGATATAGTATCAGTGTATTCGCTGTGGATACAGTATCAGTGTATTTCGCTGGATATAGTATCAGTGTATTTCGCTGCTGTGGATATAGTATCAGTGTATATCGCTGTGGATATAGTATCAGTGTATTTAAGCTGTCGCAGTATGTGGATATAGTATCAGTGTGATAGTGTATTCGCTGTGGATATAGTATCTGTGGATAGTATCAGTGTATCGCTGTGGATACAGTTTCAGTGTATATCGCTGTGGATATAGTATCAGTGTATTTCGCTGTGGATACAGTATCAGTGTATCTCGCTGTGGATACAATATCAGTGTATCTCGCTGTGGATATAGTATCAGTGTATTTCGCTGTGGATACAGTATCAGTGTATCTCGCTGTGGATATAGTATCAGTGTATCTCGCTGTGGATATAGTATCAGTGTATCTCGCTGTGGATATAGTATCAGTGTATATCGCTGTGGATATAGTATCAGTGTATTTCGCTGTGGATATAGTATCAGTGTATCTCGCTGTGGATATAGTATCAGTGTATCTCGCTGTGGATATAGTATCAGTGTATTTCGCTGTGGATATAGTATCAGTGTATCTCGCTGTGGATATAGTATCAGTGTATTTCGCTGTGGATATAGTATCAGTGTATATCACTGTGGTTACAGTATCAGTGTATTTCGCTGCAGATATAGTATCAGTGTATTTCGCTGTGGATATAGTATCAGTGTATATCGCTGTGGATATAGTATCAGTGTATTTCGCTGTGGATATAGTATCAGTGTATATCGCTGTGGATATAGTATCAGTGTATATCGCTGTGGATATAGTATCAGTGTATTTTGCTGCGGTTACAGTATCAGTGTATCTCGCTGTGCATATAGTATCAGTGTATATCGCTGTGGATATAGTATCAGTGTATTTTGCTGTGGTTACAGTATCAGTGTATATCGCTGTGGATACAGTATCAGTGTATTTTGCTGTGGATACAGTATCAGTGTATTTCACTGTGGATATAGTATCAGTGTATTTTGCTGTTTAACGTTTAATCTCTCTCTCCCACAGATATATTTACAGGCTGGATAGCACAGACGCTGGGCACAGACATTCTGACAGAGACGTGGCAGCCGAGAGGGGACGAGTTGCCATCGAACTGTTCCCTAGCACACCATGTGTTTAATATAAAGAGACTCACATTACCGAGCCATTCTTCCTTCTACTCGAGTCACGATCACTCCAAGTGGTGCGTTTCCAGATTAGCCACAGCCCCATGGACATGCATTGGGGACCTAAACCGAAATCCTAGCCAGATCTGGAGGAGCGGGGGATTCATCTGTACACAAAACAAATTCATTTACAATGCCTTTAGTAGGATGGTGTCCTATTATAAAGCGTGTATCCCCTTGTAGAAGTAGGTTTTTATATCATATAGTTATAATACATGGAAAACTAATATAAAGAAACTATAATGCAGGTTGCGTTTATATTATACACGCTAATCATTTCACACTAACAGGTTATAGAAAAAAAATTTTAGGGTAAGTATAAGGCTTAATGTACATGTTGTGTGTTAGTGTAAGTGTGAGGGCCACTTTAATGGGGGGACTGTCAGTTCTTGTTTTACTTTCCCTATACTTAACAAATATGTAATTTGTGAGGTTTGAAAAATAAAGGTAAATGTAAAAATCCACATTGCTTTAGTCACGCCTCCATCTTAGCTCCCTGACAATCATTGTTATTAGCTCCGCCCCTTGCACCTGTCTGTCAGCACACAGAAATCTTACAGCAGCCATTGAAAACTGTGTGCCCGCATGCTGCTGCCCTAGAACTCCTATGATTTGAGTTGTAGACTATCAACATTTGGGGGAGGGGGAGTTTGAGATCTATGGTCTACGGAGATAAGAAGAAATGAAACAAGGAGGGATACTTATCAAAGTGTTTTGGAAAGTGAGAGTTACATTCTGTCATTTTGATTATATTGATTTAAATGTAACAGGTTCCCCTTTCCTGCCCCACACTAACCGACTCGTGCTAGGGCATTAAACTGCAATGTTGTGTTTCCTATTCTGTTATAAAACTAGAATAACCAACTATATTACAATATTTTCAGAAAAGGTCAGTAAGAAAAATGTACACACAAACATTTTAATATATTTATTTAAAAAAAGCAAAAGTTACAAACTGTGACAGATCTCTCTGTCTTGGACTTGCATGGAACTACTATTACTTTGTTTGCTTGATTCGTGTTATTTTATTTGATTAGTGCTTTTCCCCGTTCGTATGGACTCCCTACACTTCACCTGAAACTAACGAACAAAACTCCCGAACGGCCGGCCACCCAGTAGAGAAGTGTGCTGCTCACTAACCTCTTGGCCCTATTAGAACGTTGATGTTAACCGCAGACACCTCTTAATTGGTGCCTGTAGCTGGGTGGCCGCCATTCGTAACACGAACACGAGGTCGTGGCCATTTTAAATACACGAACACCCTATGTTCGGTACTTTTATTCACGAAAAGCCATACCCCAGATAGCCATCCCGTGGAGTCTATTCATATGGAGAACAGACTTTGTGAACACTTTGACTCCACGGTGATTGGACTGTGTGCCTAGGATCTGAGCGCTATTCGGTACTTTTGTGCGCTCAGATCCCAGATATCTGGGGACCCGTTCAATGCCTGTGTTCTATTACCATATTGAAAAGTTATGTATTTTTAACCATTTTTGTCATGGTCACTTAAGATGGTCTTTGTTCAGGGAGATAATTGAATTACTTCACAATTATCTCCCAGGCAGAGCAGAGGGTCTTGGGTAATTAAAGGGGCATGGCTGATTGGTCAATGTAATGTCCTTGTCACAGTCTCCCATCTGGTCCCCGAGGGGAGTGTTCACCAGGTGGGAGACCTGCATAAATACCGGGCATGTAGCCCTCAATAAACCAGATTCCTGCTGACCCTCAATACGGAGCTTTGTCTCGTCATTGGGGGAATTATTCGTATGGATTACGCTTGTTTGGCTGTTTGGGAGACTAACTGGTTCGTGTGATTGCTGTTCGGCTGTTTGGGAGACTAACTGGTTCGTGTGATTGCTGTTCACCAGTTTGGAGCGCTCAGTGGCTACCTCTGCATTCGGGAAGGGAACGTCCAATACGCCTGTAACCCCTCTCCTGCCGGGGGAGCCGTAACACAAACCTAAAAAGAAGATTAATAAAAACCAAAGAAAAGAGTTACTTGCGCATTATCCCAAATCCCTATGTATATTTAAATAAATGGAGGTTATGTAGTAACTCCAATAGCTATTAAAGTGTAAGCTCATCTGCCACGTCAACGTAAACCTCTAAGAGAAACCTAACAGAAAAAAAAACATGTAATGTACTTTGTCTAGTCCTGTCCATGGACCGCAAGATGTCAATAAGCGAAGATCCTGGAGAAAAAGCCCTCAACGCAGCTGCACACCGGACCGAGTGTGCACCAAAACAAGTGTCTAAGGACAATAGCCATCAAATCCATCTCGCTAGAGTGATGGATGTGGAGGGACCGCTGCCTGTCCATGAATTACTATGTGTTATTTCCAGTGTTTTCCCCTGTATTGTGTTATTTTGATGTGTTTTACCTGTTCCCCATTCGGGAGAGTCAATACAAACGAGTTCCGTGCGCCTCCCAAATGGGGACCACCACGAAACCTCATTTAGAATGTTGTCTTAGAACGTTCACACCTTATAACGAGATGTCAAAACCACAAACCGCAAGGGACGCCTCGGCGCATGCCGACCCTGGATGGCGGCCCGTTCGTTAGACAAACGCCATCTAGGGGAAGCATTCGTGGATTGCTTCCCACCTCATTCGGTTCCGGAACGAGGACCTCCCCAGTGCCCCTTGTAATGTTCACACCAATCAATTAGAATGTCGGCAACTTGTAACATAACTATGAAACTGCGAGGTAAGTAATTAATGAGTGCTTCCCTGGGCAGTGAGTGAGAGCATTCTGTCCAAAAAGCAAACACTTCCCTTGCCTAGTTTCACCCAGGGACCCCACGAGCAGAGGCGGTTACTGTTCTTGGGGTCCCTAAGATTGGTGGGGACAATGACGGTTTGGCAGGCTTTCTGTGGCTGGTAGTCACAGAGGCAGGAAACCCTGAGGATAGGTGGCAGGAACTGGAGACTTTTTTAACCCTCAAGAAACGTTGGACAGCACAGGAAAACATATTATAGACATTTCACTACAATCCACAGAACAGGAGATAGAATGCAACACAGTAACTCCTAATGTGAGGAAGTGACTCTGCTTGGTTTACAAACCCTTGTTTACATGCTGCTAAACCTCTTCCTTACCAGTACACCAGCCTGCCTTTTGCAAATTTACTGGAGATCTGGTAACCTTGACTCGACAAGCAATGATATCAGTGAAGATGATGGTCTCATTAGCCAGGTATAAAACACTGCCTCTCCCAGAAGGTAGTGTCAGTTCCTTGACTCTGGTTATTGGTTTGCTGTCTCCTGTATCCAGTGTATCTCTTGACCCCGGCTTGTTGTTTTGTTGATTCTGATTCCTCTGACCTTTGGCTTCCCACGACGATTCTCCTGCTTTATCTGTTTCTGTACTGCGACTTGCACCGACTCACAGGCCAGGTGAATTCTTACCTGACCACCTCAGCCTGTGTTTACTTGCAAGGGTGAGCATATATCTCTGCCTGCCGGACTCCCAACTCAGGTAAGTCCTGACATAAGGAACTGACCATTGGAGTCTGCAGAGATGTGCTCACCCCTGTCCCAGCAAGTGTCCAGCCTGGTCCAGACTGTTTCAGAGCTGCAGCGAGAAATTTTATTTCTTAAAGACACAGTACGCCCAGCCCCGGAACCTGCTTATTCAGAACCCTATGTCATACTGCTTGACAGGTTTGATGGTTCCTGTTCCACCTTCTCGATCTTTAAGATGGACTGTGAACTCCTGTTTGCCTTGAAACCCAGAACCTACGTCACCGACTTTATCAAGGTCTGTTCTGCTATCAATGTACTTTCTGGACGGATTAAAGTGTAGGCATACCAGAAGCTGCAGGAGAATAATACTGCCTTGGACACCTGGGAGTCATTTATGTCCGCAATGGACAGTGCATTGCTTCTAAGAATGAAACTCCCAAACTGGCTCAAAGTACTCACAGAGCTCGGTTACCTAAAGAAGACTTTGTACACTTCCAGGAACCTGTCCTGTTACCCTGATTGTAATCCTGCTAACAATAGAACCTCAGTGGACAGGGAGGAACCTATGGAGATCGGATTTACCAGGACTGGGTTGCCTCTAAAGGAAAAAGACCATAGGAGAGCCCATGGCCTATACTGTGGAGAAAGAGGGCATTTTATCTCTCTCTGCCCAATTCGTCCACCTAGGCAAAGACCTCTTCTATTGGGTGCCCTACGGACTTATCCAGTCATCTCAGAAACACCGTCTAGAAGCTGCCAAGGTTGCTGCCAGCCATGTCCCTGTTCTCCTGAGAAGTCTGAACCTCTGCCGGAAAACACTCATGTTAAAGGACCACTCTAGGCACCCAGACCACTTCAGCTCAATGAAGTGGTCTGGGTGCCAGGTCCAGCTAGGGTTAACCCATTTTTTAATAAACATAGCAGTTTCAGAGAAACTGCTATGTTTATTAATGGGTTAAGCCTTCCCCCTAATCCTCTAGTGGCTGTCTCATTGACAGCCACTAGAGGCGCTTGCGTGCTTCTCACCGTGATTTTCACAGTGAGAGCACGCCAGCGTCCATAGGAAAGCATTATGAATGCTTTCCTATGCGACCGGCTGAATGCGCGCGCAGCTCTTGCCGCGCGTGCGCATTCAGCCTACGGGGAGGAGAGAAGGAGGATCGGAAGAGGAGAGCTCCCCGCCCAGTGCTGGAAAAAGGTAAGTTTAAACCCCTTTCCCCCTTCCAGAGCCGGGCGGGAGGGGGTCCCTGAGGGTGGGGGCACCCTCAGGGCACTATAGTGCCAGGAAAACGAGTATGTTTTCCTGGCACTATAGTGGTCCTTTAAAGCTGGTACCATCACCACTTCCTGTCAACCTAAAGAGGAGTTACCTGCCTTCAATGGTACCATGGTTCACAAAACAGATTTGGTGATGTTTGAAAAAGATTTCAAAGCCACAAACTCTGCTCCTGGTAATGTACCTAAGGAAAAAGGTTCAGAGAATAAGATTCCTGGAATCAAGGTACTTGCCACTTGCACCAAATCCATTGCCAACCCAAACCTCTCTCCAGTAGTACCTGAAACTGCAAATTGTTCTGTGAAGAAAGATCCTCCTCCTGGCTACACTTGTGCATCTGATGGGACTCTAGTGCTTTTGGAACAGTTGCATGACTTTGAAATGGCACTGCTAGCCATCAAGACCGCTCAAGCTATGTCCTCCGCTCCTTCAATGCCAGGACCAATAAATCTAAAAAGTGACGTCTTGGGCGTAGTTGCTTTTTTTTTTTTGCCTAAAGGCGGGTTTGAGGAGGGGATACTGTCACGGTTCCCTCTGTAACTTCCAGAGTGCCAAATGAGGTTGCCCAGGAGCGGATTTGAACCTGGGTACTTTGCACTGGGGGCTGGACATGCATTGGAATTGCTCCTGTCACTCTTGGTACACCTGAAGATGATGGTCTCATTAGCCAGGTATAAAACACTGCCTCTCCCAAAAGGCAGTGTCAGTTCCTTGACTCTGGTTATCGGTTTGCTGTCATAGCTATGACTGCTGAGGGTGCACAGATTCAACACCAATCCCAGATTTCAGACCAACTGGATTCTGTCACACAACCCTTGCTTTCTCTGGCTCAGGGTGGTGGTGCCTATCACTTATATGGTGATGTAACGAAACCCCTGTTTGGACAGACTCAGGGAAACAGCATTTCGTATGATATGCGTATGTTTGGATATTTCGTGTTGTTTATAAAAGAGCAGAACAAACTCCCGAACCACGAGATCCCCCACCCCCACCCCACCAGGGTTGTGTGCAGCTCATTAACCACCCAGACCTTGCGGTTAACCACAAGTAATTGTTGAAAGGCTTGGTGGTCCGCGATCCTTTGCCAATCACGTGGCAGTGGCCATTTTAAAATCGTTGAACGCTCAGCGGTAGATGCTCATCGACGCCCTGGAACTGTTTTCGGACACTTATTTAGCCGCACACCGCTGAAGTGTACCAAGTTCCACTCCATTCGTCTAATAACTCATGAACACCCTACCATTCGGGACTTTCCTGCCATACGAACTAGACCAACCCCAGGTAGCTGCAGTTATGGAACTCTTTTCGGATTCAATTGCACGAATAACCGGTGAACTAAAAACGTTACTCAGCGGTATTGAGAACTGTGTTCGTGGGATCTAAGCGCTATTCGTCTATATTGTGCGCTCAGATCCAATCTATCTGGGGGTATGTGGAACATGGAGACTACGTTCGGTGAAATATGAGTTATGGATTTTAATACAGTTTTGTCAAAATGTAAAAAGGACATGTTCCTCTCTACCTGGAGATAATTAGGTTCTCTCCAACTACTTAAGTTAATTATCTCCAGGATAGAGAGGAGGGGTTGCACTGTTACAGTGGGTGTATTTAATAATTGTACTGTAAACTGATTGGTTTTGTATTTTGCGTCACAGTTTTCCACAAGGTCCCTTGTGGGAGTTTCCTTGCTGGGAGACCATCATAAAGCAGATAGTTTTACCCCTTCATGAAATCTCGACTCATGTTTGGGGAATTGGGAGCTGTAATCACAATTTTGCTATTATTCTGCTGGGATTTCAGAAGAAGCTGCAAGGATCAGTCCTATAGGGATAACGGGATCCTTTACAGGTGATAATAAAATGGCAACACCTGTTACCACAACAATTAATAAAATGGTTGCTACAAACTTAACTCAGCTTCCTCTACAATATCGTGATTTTACGTCTTGGCGTCATACTTGATTTTGGCCTCACCTTTGAGCCTTACATCCAGCATGTTGCCAAATCCTGTAGATTCCATCTTAAAAACATAGCCCGCATTCGCTCCTTTCTTGTACCAGATACTACCAAGGAGCTTGTCCATGCTCTAGTAATTTCCCGCATAGATTATTGTAACCCTCTCCTGATTGGACTTCCCAAAAGCCGTACTGCACCGCTACAGTCCGTAATGAAGGCTGCTGCCAGACTGATTTTCCTCTCTAGTCGTTTCTCTCACACCTCACCCCTCTGCCAGTCCTTACATTGGCTTCCTGTATACTATAGGAGTCAATTCAAGGTACTAATTCACACCTATAAAGCACTGAACAACTCTAGCCCCTCTTATATCTCCTCACAGATCCATAGGTATGTCCCTTCTCGGTCTCTCCGCTCTGCCCGTGACCACCTCCTGTTCGTTGTCCGCACCCGCATGGCCAACTCACGCTTGCAGGACTTCTCGCGGGCGGCTCCCTTCATCTGGAATAGCCTGCCTGTCGCCAT